TCTCTCATACAATATGCAATTCAGTGATGTTATTCTTCTTACATCCAAAAGTCAAGAGTAAAGCCTCCTTTTCAAGATGACTGACATTTTTCTGTTCTAAAGAGAACAGAGAACATGATGTAGTTTTCAAGTCTCCCTTTTTTGGAAACCTTAAATGTTGTCAGCAGCTTTGCTCAGATAATGCCACTCAAAGCTCAGGGAGAATTTAGACTATGCTCCGAGGTTGTCACCTCAAGGGGTGTAAGATTTTCTGTTTTGGAAACAGATGGGCTGGTAAACCTTTCACACCTTTATGGCCACAAAGACCTTTACGAGGGCTCCGCTCTTAGATATCCCGCCGGTGTGTCCAATCTCTGTGTAATTCCTGGATCCGTTTGTTCTGCACATTTCACGCCAAGTAGGGAGGGGTTGCGGCCATGACCTCCTGCAGCCCCATAACTCACAGGATGGACTGACAGAGGTGGCGGATACCCCCAGATGAAAGGTAACAACAAAGAGATGTTTAGCATGACGCACAGCAGCGTAGTCCCGGGCCCCAGAGGATGATGGGATGGCAAGGAGTGACAACTAATGGGCCTCTGAAGTTTGTCTGTTTCTGCCATCAGGGTGGAAACAGCCCCACCCTTCAAAAGTTAAGTGACAATCTGCCTGTCAGACCTCAGCATACCAAGAGCTCTGCAGCACAGCTCGTTTATCACCTTCACTGATCACACCATGCAGATTTGACAGACCAGGATGGAGGGAAGGGCAGGGGCGCTCTCCATGAAGCCGGTCAGTGGGCGTACTGACAGACAGATCAGCATGTGGATATAAGTAAATATGCAAGACAACAACACACACATAATTTAGTTAAAATTGACTGTGAAAAACATAACAAATGGAAGGCATATATGTTGCTTTTTCAAAAATCTAAAAAAAGTGGTACAAAAAGCACAGCACACTAATCTATCTTAAATACTCCAGGCAAGAACTTTAACTCTCCCCATTTTTCATCCACACAAGAGGCCTCTCAAAGACATGAATGATTCATCTCTCCAACTCCATTTGGACAGGAAGTGAAAACAAATGGAAGCAGCCCCCTCGCTGCCCCCCCAGGGAGCCCAGGTCTACACTGGGGCTGGATGAACAACACTGAGAACACCAGGCTGAACCGACCGAGCTCTGCTTCTCAGCTGCAACGGGAGCCTGATTCTCCCTCTGGGCCACTGCCCTCCTCCCACTATCTATACAGAGAGAAAATATTTCCTCACACATACACCACTACCTACTCCTCTTTTCAGCAACAGGACCAACTCTGCAGCAACACCTCTGACTTTCCAACCTGCAGATGTTTGGAGTTAAAAATAGGATGCATTGTATGCAATGCATCATTGGTGTGGTTTAAGGTCTGATTAAAGAGTTTTCTGTGCATGCAATCCAGCTGGACTGAATAGAATTGATGTTAATGCCTTACAACGCCAAGAAATAAACAGAAACAGAAACAACAAACACTCAGGGTGTGAGAGAGGAAAAACTTATTTCTGTGAGAAAATAGTGTTCTGCCACCTGGGTGTCACTGACATTGTCTGCACAATGTCTACAGCCCCACTCTCTCTCGACCACATAGAGCAGCAACAGCCAGAATCGGGCAAAATAAATAAAGGTGTGAACACGACTTTCCATTTCTTTTTTTTGTGACAACACACTGTGATAAAGCCCAGGACTACACTCCACATGCTTCTGTTTAACCTCAAAACATGTACAGCACACGCAGAGGAGCATAATCAAAAACAGAACATAGGGGCAAAATAAATTATGAAGTTATATTACATCACCTGATGCAGATTGCCATCATCGGTCCACAGCTGCTTAGCAATGACTCCAAGACAAATGAAGTGATCTTCGTTGACTGACAACACCTGTGAACATGTTGTGCCCCTGCCAGATCAATGAGGCCACTCAAGGGATGTTCGCTATAGACATCAAGCGACTGTTATATCAGAATTTGTCAAAACCTGTTATTGTCACTTTCAAATCTGAAGTTGCTAACACTATATTCTACATTTGAAATACATTTTCTTATAGCAGAGGAAAATGATGCATGTACAAAGTTTTATCCTGTGACAGTTCTTGGCGACCTATGCAGATTACAGTAATGTTTACCTGACAGCTTTTTACATTTACGCCCGGGCTGCATTTCAACACATCTAATTGCCAGATTCGTCATTGAAGCTCCCTGCACTGTAAATATGAAGAGAACATAACAATGGAGCCACTGCGGAACAGAGACCAGCACCTTCCTCAGGGCATCAACAACAACCCTCCTCCCACCTAAAAAAAACTCACTGACCCAAACCCATTTTTCCAGTCTAACAGAAATGTCAAGTCCAGACCTAGAACTCGTTTCTTTGAAGGGAACATAGCAGCCAAATATAGCCCGCTGGCCTCCGCGCTGCCTGACATACATCAGGCTCTACGGCTAACAGTGGTAAATTCTGGCCGACCGCCATCCAGTCACTTACTATTAAACATCATAACTGTACAAAGAAAATTATAACCAAGCAGTGGAGTGTACACTGTTGCCTGGTAACCTAATGCCATGTTGGGAATTCATCTTGCTATGGAACAGAGAACACTTAGAGCCAGAGCCAATAATAGATCCTAGACCTCACAAAAAATAGTTTCAGGGTGTCAACAAGCATGGCCAACACACACGAAGCTGAGAAACAGATCATGAGATGTATGTTCAAGAATCAAATCTCACTCCTCTGTGCGCCTCTACACCAATTTTTGTAAGTGTTGCTGTATTTGCAACCACTTGTGAAATTATATAACTATTATTCATCTGTCATTTTGCAAGTGAAATGATGGATAGAATGAGGGCTTGTTTCCAAGTGTGAAATCCAGCTAAAGAGCACATTATGTCGACAGGCAGTGGATGATGGGAACTAATCACAAAAAGTGTTTCTTTTCAATGTGATGGATCATAAAGAATTACACAGATTGCTCCTTCCCAAGAAATATATGTCCTGAAAAAATGAGAAACAATGAGAGTTGTTTACCAATCACAGCTTCATATTGACAACAGAGGGCAATGCGGCATGCTCATGGTTTGGTTTGCTCTAAATGGTTTGTATGAAGTGCTTTACAGCAGAGGTGTACAATTCACACATGCATACATGAGCAGCACTTGCTCTATGGGGCAATTTGGTGTCTGCGATCGAACTTCCAACCTTTTGGAAGACCCACTCTACCTCCTGAGCCACAGCCACCATGATATATAGCCGTTATGCTTCCAATAAGAGAATATTAAATTAAGGCTAGACATCCTAACTGATCACAAACTGCCACTCACTATAATGCATTAGTTATAATTAATATGATTACTTTGAACATGCACTGTATTTTCAAGACATGTGGTCCAATATAATGTATTGCACAATCAATCAGTTTTAAAAAAAGGGTCCAGCATTTACTGTGAAGTGTAATGGTCTGGTTGCTACAACATAATAAAATCATAATAATAATTACAACATTATTGAATCTCAGTTTAATACCTCACTCGTAAAAGCCATAACCTGGTCACAGCGAGCTCATAAATGTAGTTTGTATCTCTGCTGTGCTTTTATATGCTTTGCGTGTGGTATACACAAATATAGAAGCTTCCTGTGTTAAAGCAGCTTGTCCATGTCAGAGTCATTATACACTATTAATGTGTTATGACATTCTCTGTCATAAATGTCACATAAAATTGAAGGCAGTTTTATTTTGGCACGGCATCACATCGGCTGTGGAGGTTCTTAATGAGCGCTCGCTTCATTTACAAGTAATATTCAGAATAATAAAAACCAGCTGTCGTCCATCCCAGTACTGCAGGTGTAAGTGTTACAATGACATAACTGTGCACAAACTCCCACATATCATACAGCTCCACACACACATACAAACACAGGCTTACAATTGTATTTGCTCGACAAAAGCTCGATTGAGGCAGAAGATTGGCACAATCATTTCGTTGTGTCATACTTTTCCGTCACCCGCCACAGCGTTCTCTCTTTCCGCTGTTTCATGACATGAAGGCAGCCATCACACTGTCAAAGTCAGTGGAGGATGGCACACAAACACGGGAAATAAATCCACAGTGACAAAGCGTAATTCCTCACTTCAGCTGTGAAAAAAAGAAAGAAGAGGCATTGTATTCTCTCCACTTTGATTAACAAGCTCAATCTCACTTCTTATGTCATCTCTCCTGGTCGCTGACTGGTGACTCTGTCTTTACAACATTTTTACTATTACAAATCTACCACACACCAACTTTAGGACAATAACAAGTCACCATTCATTACATAGCATGGATGCAACACGCTGCTTCTGCGAATGCTGCGTGCCAGTTCTATAGCCGAATATGCTAACTTATTAGATCCAGTAAATAATAATTCACAGATGCCTGCCAAGATTTGTTCTATCGAAAAAACATTTTGTCTCATTAACACATTCCCTGGTACTATGAAATTATGTGTTAGGCTAAGTGTAGGGTGCTGTTGAAATGACTTTCTCTCCATGACACAGCTCAGATGGTACCTGCCCCCTCATGCCATCTGAGCAGTGCAGACATCTGTGAGCATCAACCTGCCAAGAACAAATCGAATGTAAAAATATGATAAATATTCAGAAATGGAATGACGGCTGAAGGGTCATTTGGAGTGGCTGTGAAAGGCTTTCATGTCAAGTACGAGCAGTGTTTTTCTTGCGTCTTAGTGAAAATGTCATGTGTACGCTGGAGGGTTTGTGGTTCTTGTGTTTTCGTATTACCTTGCTCAAAGAAGATTGAAATGCAGTCACGGTGTGACAACTGTGGAAAGCTAACCAGCCACTAAGACATCTGCAAGCTTTTGTTGGAGTGACAGGGCGTTCGACAAAACAACCGAGGAACTGACATCACAATACATCCCTCACTACAACAGCTGCACTGTCAGTGAGCTTTCATGTATTCACTGACGAGGAAAGAAAATGACTCTTACTTTTGACTGTTCCTCGACACGTTCATGTCTCCATGTGTTTGTGGTGACAGCACCGGCTCTTCATTATCTGTAAAAGATTACATATGTTGAAAAGTAGATTTATCGGCAGTCGGTAGTCGGCTTTATCACACACTGTATATTAGGGCCCGACCGGTATAGATTTTTGGGGGCTGATTCTGATAACAATATTAGGGAGTAAAAAAATCAGATACGGTACATTTTCCAATATATATTTAAAGAAAATACACTAACAAAAAATAACTAGACATGAAGAGAAAACACAAATACATCCAAATATGTAGAACTTGATTTCAGATAATAATCTTTTTTTGCATGAAATGTAAACAGAAATGCAGATCTGTATTTGCACTGTTTATTCTCTAAATAAAAAGTTTTCATATCAGCACATAGCAACAAACATAAACACAGACACAGATATGTCAAGATAAGTCTCATATTGGCTAAATGTATATGTACATAAGCATGTACTTAAAAGGTGGACAGAGAACATGGTTTAAGATGGATTCACTGTTTGAAAGTAACAGAGTATATTTACTGTTAAGGGTTGGTTTATAGCCTACAATTTGTGATGGTGTATTCGCAGTATATTGTGCGGAACATGCTTCAGTAAATGATGTGAATACTTCTTTCACCACTAGATATAAAGTGATGTAAAGCAGCTCTGAGGATTATGTAAGTCAGTGGGTAGTAGTGTGGATGCACATCACACAGCTCACAATCCCAGGAGACGGTTCTATCCTATTCAGTTTCTTATTGAACAGCTATTTTCAAATATTAATCAAATCAAGTCATGGGCGTAGCGACAGGGTGCGATGAACTGATTGAATGAGGACTTCATCACATCAACCATGTTTGGTGAGATCATTATAGTACAAGTGTATTTATAGAAGGCAGTTTGCACTATAACATCTTGAACCCAATAACAGTCAGTACGTTGACAAAAAAACAATAAAAACTCTACTGTTCCGTGGTTGTGTAAAGAATGCAACGGTTTGTACAATAACATTCTGGGATCTACTTTTAGAAATCGATTATTAAACGACCACCTGTGACTGCAGAACCAGCGTATTAATGCACCAACATTCCAAATAGTTCCTTTCCTGTATAATTACCATAATATATTTAACATAAAGATACAAAGTGAATATATATTATAGAAGACATTTAAAACATTATTTTAAGATGGTAGTTCCGTGTGACTGGCTGAGCCGCATTCAAGACCGTTGTAAAATCTTTATTTAACTGTAAGCTAAATATAATGAACCCATGTTGTCACTGTTTCACCCATAGCTGTGTTATTATAGAAAGAACCATGTTACTTAAAATAATGAATTCTAAGGGTGAACAGTAAAACCTTTCTCTGAAACATACAATACATTTACATACACATCACGTCCAATTTGTTCTGCAGTGGAAACAGTCAGTGTAGCTACCTTGAGGACTGGGCTGAGGGTATTGGCGGTTGTACAACTCGACTGGGAGGACGTGCTGGACCTGACTGCATGACGACTGAACGAGCTATAAATACTCTTGTTTTGTCGAGAGAGGGGACGATATAAAATCTGAGCCAAGGCACTGACAGCCTGAGCGACCTGTCTGCCCCATTGTCCTCTGATAATCTCGGTGATGGAGAGACGAGGTCAGCTCCGGCAGCCGTCTGTCCTCAGCAAGTGAACCAGACTGCCCAGCAAATTCGTCAATCATGTCCCTGTGAGAAATAAAAATCTGGTGATCAAAGCAATATCCTGTTTATGTAATAGAATGGCTTTCATTTAAATAATGAGTGCATTTTACTCTAATCATAGTGTTTTATTTATATTATTTTAAACTGTGGTAGTCTTTAATTCCCCCCTCACATAACAATAATAATAATAATAATAATAATAATGAATGCACTAGTTATGATAATAGGGTTATGAGACTCTCAAGCAGCTCACTGTTTAAAGAGGCTATTTGCTTGTTATTGCATGGTATAAAAAATCTAAATGTGAATGCTATGACAGCTGCATCCACAGATTACAGTCTGCAACGGTGCACCTCCTAAAAATAGCACCTGTGGCTCCACAGGCCCAAAGAAATATCATTCAAATGGAAACAGTGCCATCTACTGGTCATACTACACATTGTCATGCGCTTGGACTGCTGGGAACTTGTGGGAAAACATGTTTGGCCTTGTAGCATCAGTTGCTGTTGTGCAGCTGCAATAATATTTATGAGCTGCAAATGAATTGATGAATTCCATCATATATGTTGCTCAGTGGTTGATCAGACAGGTTTGTCATTTCCTAATTTTGAATTTGAGAAGTAACAATGAGCCGTGAAGACGCCACCTGAGACCTTTCCCACTGTTCAGGTTATAGAAATACCAACTGGTGGGAATTTTTGTTAAAAAAACAGAGATGCTTTTATCCCAGCCAAAAGCAAGGCCTGACTGAGTGTGTGATTAGCAGAGATTATATGCAGATTTGTCATCGTCATAAATCTACCGCTGTCCACGGTCTCACATTTTTATTTGTCACTTCAAAGCATTCTTCAGTCGCTCTCCTTCGTTTACTGTTTGGCCCAGTGGACAAATGTCTTCCTGCTAGAAGAAGAACAAAGCACCTCTCTTGAGCTCTGTTCACCTGTTTCCCACATCACTGCCCATCACATGTCACAATAGTTTGGATGTTTGGATACAGCTTTATGATTATTCTCATTAAAATATTCTGTTCTTGACTGATTATACATTTAGACCTTTAACAAGCAGGAACACATCACATGAACTATAATTTATCTGCTGATTACGAGGTCTCTGGCTCGACGTGAAAACTCCAGCAGTGGTGGTGGGAAATTAAATTCCCTCTCTTCTCATCTTGCCACTGTCCTACAGCAGCTGGGATGGACCCAGTGGGTGCACCACTCTCATTCCAGGACCCCGACGGCCCAGCTGTTTGCTATCCCTCATCCTGACGGCTGGTCATACAGGGGCGCGGGCGAACATCAGCGAATCTGACGTGTGATCCTGCATGCCTGTCACTGGGGCTGACTCATTGCCGTGCAGGACCCCACAGCTGGCACCTACACGCTAAGGACCATGTCATTTCTCAGCAGCAGATAAGATTGTCATGATAAATCTTCACAAATATATAAATATCATCGTCGATATATTCCATTGTAAATTTGCAGTTACTGTGGTAGCAACAGCAACTTTATCAACTGGTGCAGTAAACCAGCTGTCCCCCCAAAAAGTGTCAGTATAACGTATTTATCAGTGTGACTTCTCTGTGATGAGGGTGGGTGATGACACTCACCTGTTCTTTAAACCTCCACACTTGGGGGTGAACTGGGAGGACATATTCCAACTGCAAAAAAAAGAGAGAGATGCTGATGAAGAATGTTCTCACTTTTACTGTGTTGCACTTATTAGCAACCAATAAGAGAAAGTGGGTGTAGGTTTAGGAAACAAGGTGAAGACAAGAAAGCAATTGTAAGAGTTATTACTTTTATGAGATCTACAGACAGTTTTTGCGAGATCCTCTTGAAGCCTAGTATTGCGTTTATTAAATGTCTGCATGGTTTATTAAGCACCTTAAATGAATACTGAATATTGCTCAGTCAACAAAACTCCTGCACCATTTTGTCCACTCCTCTCCCTATTCTTTTTCTCAGTCCCCACATGAACAACCTGCTGCACCACAGCACCGACTAGCTGTAATAATTGATAAAAGCATATCATGAAATACAATCTTAAATTAAGTTGACTGTACAAAAACAATATCAACTTAACATTACTGTTAACACTAAATACGTTTAAACAAGATGAAGGATATTACTTCAGTGAGAAGATAGACTAAACTAATGTCTAAACAATTACGATGTTTAAACTTATGTTCACCCATCACAGTGTCTTCCTTACACATTAAACATCTGGTGGTGCTAATTAAATGCGGTCTCTCACTCACACACTGAAATATGGCTAATTACACAAATCAAACAGAGAAATAAAATTAAAGGAAACAGCAACAACCATTATTTAGAAAAATATTATTTCAACACCAAAAAAGTGTTATGACTATCCATCTTATGACTTTCACAAAGAGCACTCTATCTGGTCATTCTTTTTAATTTTCTCCAATGATTTTACACTATTGTTATTTGTTGGTATAATCTTTCTTTCTTTCTTTCTTTCTCTGTCACTTTCTCCCTCTCCCACACACACTCATAAAGATGGCTTTGTAAACATGGAGGGTGTAAACACAGAGGGTCAGAGTGCAGATTTAAAGAGGGGTAGAGATTGGGGAGGTATGTGCATAAGCATCTGTTTTCTTCATTTATGCATTTACTCCTTTGTCCATAGCTTCTCCTCTTAATTTGATTCGTGGGAAGCTCTCTCACAAAATTGGCCTCCCCAGTAAGAACCTATTCCTGGGGTTACTGTGGCCTTCAGGGGGCTTAGGGACAGATCCAGAAGGATTACCCCCAGCAAAGGCAACCAACATGCACCCAAAATGATCAGGGTAGCTGCAACAACAGTTTCCCTCTCCCCTTTCTTTGTTTCCAGTGCCTTGAAATGTGAGACTACTCTGGAAAGTTGCCTGGTGAGCATAATGTACATTCTTACACACGGACCCCTACCTCCCTCATTCTCAGTCACTGCACTATTTTTTCTTTACTGCTTTACTTAATCTTCACCTCTGCTCCCTGCATCACAGCTTGAAATAGATATGTGGCAGAACTATAAACAGAACAGTCCTGAACAGAATATGCAGGACTGCAAAAATTAAATAACATGCCCCAAATATGAGGTGACTGTACAGTACTTTATATAATCTCTTCCACTGGTAATATAGAGGAGCATGGCTGCTCTGTGAACTTCCTCATCTAAATGGTCTGATTCCATGTCTGAGACAGAACCACTGAAACACAAACAAATTGTACTGTAAACAGAGTGTTTTGTGTCCAAGCCTTTTTTTGTTCTTAAGCAATGTCTTCGCTGCCAGTGCTGTCTGTGGTCTTTTTACTGTACAGAGGAAAATGCTGACCCAAATCATCTGCTGTTGTAACATTACCAAACTGATTTAGACATTGAAGTGCAGACGTCCTTATAATCAAATTATTACTGCAAAAATTCCTCATCAGATATTTAATTTTGTCTCAATCTACAATCACTTACACTATTATGAGACAAAGAAAAGATTATATAAGGTCTACAATGTCCACAAATGTACCCCGCATTAACTGAATTTGTCCATATAATAACACATATCAGCATCTTCACTCTGAGTTCACAAGTTGACCTGCATTTGTCTTTTCAGCTTGATGTCCATTATCTACTTTGGAAGCCTGCACGTAGTAGGAGGGGATTTTCACTAGAGGGTGATATTTCACTACATATTGATGTGAGGTCATAGTAGCCGCAACACACTCAGCATTTAAAAAAACACCACCTCCCTGAAAGTTTCAGTACAAAGATAAAAGTTGTTCCTGTTCTCATGAAGGCCACACACTTCCACATTAGACTCATATAGACTGTCTACATTTACAGTGAAGCAATGAGACATGTGTGTGTTTATCAATCAGCAGACTAGGTGTGCTTAAAGGTGTAGCAGGAGTGTATATATAGTTTATATGTGTTGTACAGATCATTACTTTGTGTGGAAACGATGAGCTGTGGGTGCATTGAAATCCTTGACAACATCAGCTCCTATTGAAAGTGTAAATGGAAGAAAACTTGTGATTATAACAACTAGTGCATTTAGTACTGGAACGACAAAGATGTGTGTGTGTGTGTGTGACTAGGCCAGGAGGCAAAACTGGAGGAGAGGAGAGTTACATATATTTACATATATATGTGTGTGTGTGTGTGTGTGTACTGCAGGATATACAGCCTGAATGTACAGGCTACTGGCCCACTGTGTGTACTGTGTGTTCTGTTTACAAGAGGCAGATACAGAAGCAGCTCCTCACTAGTTTGTTCTGTAATTTAAAGATATTGCATTTTTTCCTTAATTCATTAAGTTATTGAAGGCTTGGGGGGGTGACAGGTGTTTTTAAAGAGAGGCCTACGTCTGCTTAATGTTCACATATTAGCACAACATGCCAGAACTGCTTCATCAGCATCCATGGGGCCAATTAAACATACAGCCTGGTCTTTGTGTCAGCAGCATGGCTACCTCCGGGAAGATGAGTCAGGGGCCTGATGGTGGTTTTCTGTCCGGTGAAACTTCCTCTTCCTGGGGGAACAGAGTTGGCTTCTCTTCGGTGTTGCTCTCGGTTTTAGTTCAACTTCCAGATGAGTCACACTGTGTAAACAGAACAATGAGCTGCTGTAGCTTAGCCACATAGCTCCATACGAATATCTAAATGTCGCAGTAAGCGTGTGTGGTAACATAAGTTCACTTCATGTCGGAAACATTTACTAAAAGTGCCACTTACTTAACAATATTTAATCTGACGTGAACGTTGTCAGCGACGCGATATCCAACACGAGCGCGTCTGTCACGGAGCGCTGTTTGGCAACAACCAATAAGGAGCCTCTTTACTGGCTCGTCAGGCGCGTTTGACCAATGGGAGCGCGTCTCATTGCGAGGTGAAGTATGGTGGCGGCAATGTTGTGGAGTTTCCGCTACTCGTCTGCTGCTCATGCCATAGGTTAGAGAGCTAGCGCAAGTAAGCTAGGTTAGCGTCGCGCCAGGCCTCCAGCGAACCAGCGGGAGAGCAACCGAGATCAAACCCAGCTATTCGGGAAGGAGACGAACACCTCATTTATGTGTCTGCATGAGAACAGTTGAAATCCCAGAAATATGGTGGTTCTCAAAATTCGAGACCAGGTAAGTGGTTGTTGTCGCAGGAGGACTGAAGTTTCAGCTAATGCTGGCCGGCTAACGTTTAGCTAGCTCGCCCCCCGATTTCAACACTCGCCAGCGGAATGTAATTGGAGTCTGTCGGGCTATTCCCCCAGACGGAAGCGTTTCCTCAAGTGCTAAATAATAAATAGTGACTTGTGAGGTGAAAGGTAGACACGGGGCTTTTGGCTAAATCATATATGGAGTCATGTTCTTGGTCGATGATTGGTGGCATCACATTAACACCGAGACACATGCTCAAGCGGTTACTCCAGCTAATGGTCCCGTGTTTATGACCAGCAATTAGCCGGAGCCGGTGCTAAATGTGATTTTAAAAAAACAATGCAAAACTGGGCTTGAGTTGTTGCTTCTAAGTGATTCAGTGTTTTATCAATAGCCACCATTATGTTGTATCATGATGTATGAGGTGACTACCTTAACAACCGAAGCGATCTGTTGATTGTATATAAATATATATGTTTTTCATCTGAGTTTACATCAATTAATTGTCTTTGATCACAATCATTTAGTGTATATCCCATTATTAATATTGTAAACAATTCAACCAGTTATTGCAGCAGTTTGAGACGTAGCTGTTTACCAAAATGCATGTATTTTTACTGTATAAGTAGTATGAATGCAGGTAAACTGCTGTGTAATGGTTATACACGTATGAGGAGACTGGCAGTGTCACAGTTTATCAGACATGTGTCCCCCTAATGACATTAACCACTTGTCACCTACGTGTGAAAACGAGAATAGCTGTCTGTTGTCATTCAGAGACGTGTTTTGTACAAGCCTGCTATTCTTGTAGCATATGTACGTGCATGCGTCTTTCATTGTGTGTGTGCTTGAATGATCGTGTGCCTGCCTGGGCTCCTGTGAGCCAGTGGAGTTGCCAAAGAGCTGTCTCCATGGTGATGGTATTAACTAGGCTGGCTTGTATGAGGAGAGGAGGTGCACAGTCGTGCAGCCAAAGAAGCATAGAAAATCTCCTACACCAGTCGTGCAGGACCGGAGCGCTGAAAACAACAAAATGCAGATTTGTCCTTGTCCCTGTCACTGTGGGGGGATATTCAGAGAATCGTCGAATGAAACTGTACGAAGCACAGTGCCTGCTTGTTACTCTGAATTCATCCTCAGTCACTCTAACCTTTATTGCACCCAGCAGATATTCATGGACATTATAATAAGTGAATGAAAGGATTGTCTTATGTTTAAAGTGAATGTAAGCTACTTACCCTCTTGGATGGTAATGGTAGTCTTTGTCGTCTTTATTCTTAATACTTACTGAGTATCAGTCTGCTGAAATTAATAATGAGGCTCAAATCTGAACCAGCACAAAACATATCTTGTCCTAATAGTTTCAAGACAATTAAAAGAGAACTATCCTTCCTATATCACCATGCTCTCAGCCCAAGGGGAAAGTGTATGACTTGAGTACCGTGTGAATGACACTGTATAACATTGTGGTTGTGAGCCGCTTCAGACAAAATGAATTGGATCCAAACATAATTGGTTCTATTTCATGGCGTTTGTCAAGCATGTGGCTTAAACTGTGCCGTATGACCTAGATGTCTTCTGCACATAAGGTATTGGAAGCTACACGGCTGCACATTAGCTAATTAGCTAGCTGGGCAGCTTGGTGGGTTAGATGAGGTATGAGATCTTAATGACCAAATGTACTCTGCACGCTTTATCATTCTGAATGTATGCAGAAAGAAATTCAGCTGGTGGGATTGGTTGTATGCATATTTCCCTCTCCAGCTTTTTCAAACTGAGGTGTAGTAAAGATATTTAAAGGCAATACAAGTTTTCATTCAAGCTGAATATTGCAGCAGGTGATTTGAAACCCCCCTGACTCTTGGCACTTGGTAACTGGAACCTCCAGCTTCTTTAGCTCACGTTTTGTTTTGGATACTTTGATACAAATTGCTCATTCAGAGGTTGTAAGTGCTCACATGTAAGTGCTAGATAATGGCTCACCTGACACACAGCATTTAAGCATCACCTAAATTCACAGCTGTTACTTCTGCAGCTGTAAACTCATCATGATAGCTTAATTTGTTTTTTGCAATAGGCATTTAACTAAAGTCAGGAAAGGGTTAAGTTTTTGTGCAAGCCAGGAATGTTCCATCTGGGTCTTTCATGGGTAACCAGTTGCAGCCTCTGGAAGGGATCCCCTGCCCTCACTGTTCTCCCCATCCATGCCAGCCTCCTCCCACAGCCAGTGGAAAACTGCCTGATCGTACACTCTGCTGGTGTTATAGTGGATCTGATAGGGGAGCACAACAATGTGGAGTTGGACAACATGATGCGTTAAGGTCCAGATAATCGAAACATGAATTACTCATACAGTTTTACTGTTGATAGGAGCATTGATTTAGAATTATTTTGAAATACATTAGATAAGTACGAGATGTAACATCGCTTAATGAGGGGGGGAAAAGAATAGAAGCTCATAAATGGTGATAACCTGATCTGCAGCCAGTTTGGTATTTTGTGAAGGGCCAGGGCGCTCAGCATTGCTAATAATGCTATATTGTCTCTGGAGCCCCAGACTATTTGTTTATGGTGTGCCAAAAAGATTCTTTACCAACAAGTTAATAATGAAGCAGTGCTCTCTCCATCTGTGGGTTTTCAATTCCAATTCCGTCTTTAGGGACATTGCGGATGTTGTGAGAGCCTCGTCTTACAGGAAGTATTGGCAAAAGGCTGCAACACTGTCACAATGAATCACTTAAGCTACCCACACATGGATAAATATTGCCTGAAATGTTTATGGTTCTAATTACATGTCTTAAAAACCACAGTTAATCTTGCCAGTCTTTTTTTTTTTTAATTAGACACACATGATTCTTTTTGCAAAATGAAACTGAGCAAAATGATCAAAATATATGATATACACAGCAGTATCTTCCCTGTGTACACTCCCTAGGAAAGGTGGAGCCAGCGAAACTACTTAGTAGTTGGGATGGCATGGTCCTTCGTCAGACTTCACAAAGAGAACAACTTTACCTCAGATTGTTTTAGAAGCCTTGTTTGACTTTCATCATTTTTGCCACTTGTTGAAATGGTGAAGAGGATCAGCTGGGATAGTTTTCACTAGAGGCTAGTCATGTCAAAGTCAGTCATATGGAGCGCAGGGTTACTGGACTTACATTCTGAAGATCGTTTTTTTTCTCTCTGTGCCGCGTGTGGATGTGGTTTTCTCGCCGACCAACAACACAGTACAGAATTAGAAAGTGTCTGCTCAGCATTTGTCAGAATCGATCCTGACATTCTTCCTCCATCATCGTCTGATTTGTGGAGTCACTGTTTTATTTAAAGGCCTCAGTCTCTGCCTTTTTTATACAGATCTTCAACAAAAAATATTAAGGGACTTTTTAACAGCCTAAACATGATTGTGTAATCTCGGAGCAAATGAGTCGTGTGTGTATTGTGGTGCTTGAGGACGAGGATCCAGAAGTCTCTTTACGGTCTAAAGTCTCCAAGGTCTGAGTGAAGAGTTACTGTTTTTTCCAAATTTTCTACTGCTGGAGTTTTAAGTCTGACTCAGTCTCTTTCTTTTACAGCCTGCTTTGCTGAAAGCTATTTTCAATGTGGACCCAGATGAAGTACGCTCACTCATATTCAAAAAAGAGGATGTGAATGCACAGGTAATCCCAGCAGTCTCAACTCTGCATCCGTTTCCTCTTATTATTGTTCTATCTAAAAAAACATCCTATAGCGCTGATTTTAAAACCCCTCATGCATCATGCAGCTCTTTCAGTTAATAGTTACAAAACAACACATCATTGGTTTTCTGCTCATTTCATTGCATTCCTCAAAGTTACTGTTTGGTAAGGCCAGATGTTTGTTTCAAAATATGGCTGGTTGGTATTTGTTTCACTCGAAGTCTTCTCTGCTAACTGAATTTATTTTTTACCCTTTTTTGCTTTGAATGCAGCTGTTAATAGTATATGCCAATTTCACCTCACTAGCATTGTAATGTTACAAATAACAAAGAAAAGGTGTGATCTTGTTCTAAAAGATCAGGGCTGTATTACCTTGTATAAAGTAGAGAAAGACTCTAAAGTTAAGATGTAATTGCAAGCTGTTTTCCCACTTTTTAATCACAGTTTCTTCTGTTCACATTCTTACAGGACAATGAGAAGCGAACTCCACTGCATGCTGCTGCCTATCTCGGAGATGCAGAAATTATAGAGCTGCTGATTCTTTCAGGTATGGGTTTTAAAAATACCTCACAGATAAGGTTCAATCATACCAATTTTAGAAGTATGGTTCTTCATGATATTTATTCCCACTTTAACATTAGAAAACATCTTAAAGCAAAGTCATGATCACCTGTTGTATTCAGCAGCCGCATGCCCTGACATACTTGGTTTTCTTTTTTCAATAAGGGTTTGGTGCATGTCAGCAACTTACAACTTGTCTTAGAGCATAAAGGCATATTTCAAATGTGGCACTCAGCAGAAGATTGTTGTGCTTATGTGGCCAGATGGTGCATCTGTATTTAATACAGTGAAATATCTCTATGCGCACCCTGTGTAGTCTGCTCTTTCTTGCAGGTGGAGATGTTACAAAAAAAGTCAAAAGGCTTAAATCATTGTTGAAATGTTGCACTTGATATAATTTAACTTTATGACCTTCAAACGGTCTCATAGCCAATA